CCTTGGTACCGTTCTCGGGAAACCATACGTAAGAAAGGGTCGAAGAGGGCTGACGGGAGCACAACGGGGCTCGACGGCTTCACGCTCGGGTCGCCGTGGCGTGACGGGGCCGCGTGAGGAGCATCGGCTCAAGGACGGCGGCTCACGACGATGGATGACGTCGCTGTGATGATGCTCGACGGGAACCTCGCGAGCAGGGAATATGGAGACGCCGCGAGTTGTAGACCTGCGGTCGCTGGAATTGCAGGTGCGACGCAGGGGAGAGCAGCGGTTCTGGTCGTCGAAAGTCGGGCCTGCCGGTGGTCTCGCGAGCGGGGGAAGGCAGCGACGAAGTTCGTCGTGATGGCCATTGGCCGATGAGCAGCAAAGGGAGGGGTCGGCGATCAGAAAAGCGAGAGAGAAAGTGAGACGATGGTGATGGTGGCGTCGGATGTTACTAGCGAGAGAGAGGGATGAGTGAAGGCTGCGGGGCGAATTTTGATCGAGAGAGAGAAGAGGGTGGTGAACAGATAAAAGTTGCGGGCGTGTGATATATCGAGCGAGAAAGAAACAGATTAATATAAGCTAGGTTTACAAATCTTGGCACACAAGAAACACACACACACGCACAAAAGAGGGTGGGTGAACCGAGGGTTCGGCCGGTCTGGGTCGTCCGGTTCAGCTGGGCGCGCGGCTTACGTGCTCGACATACGGCTCGGCTCTCAGGCTCGACTTAGCCAATAAAAATAGCTCGGTTTGATCGCATGACAATTAAAATAAAATTCGGATAATATTTATATATATAACACACACATTAATTAATTAATAATAATAAACATTAGACATTTAATGACAATTAGATATTTAATATTGATAATAATAATAACAATAGTAATTAATAATCCCAAATAATTCATAAATAAACGGGGCATTACAATTATATAACGTATGTAAAAGTATCAAAATATTATATATATTATTATTGAAAAGTTATAAGACCATTTACCTAGTATTATTATTATATTCGTGAATAATAAAATTAAATAAATAGTATAAAAAATTATTATATATTTTTAAAAACCTCCTTGTAGACGACATTTTTTGCCTCATACGTATATATACCATCCTCCCCGCAAACTAATATTTTCAAGCCATTTTGATTAGTGACACAAGAAACAGTTGCATACAGTTTGCCGTGAATGACCATCGGCTTCTTCAGGAACATGTCAACATGTGATAAAGACTGACCATGACTTTTGTTAATCGTCATGTCATAAAAAACCATTAGGAAAACTGTCTCTGCTGAAATTCGAAAGGTACTCTGAGGTATCAACACCTGATCTCCCACATTAGATCCAGTCAATACCTTACATTCAAGCACATGAGTAGAGAACTTTTTAACAATCAATCTGGTACCATTGCATAACCTTATAAAATAGTAACTGTTCTGCACCAACATGAGTGGGGTTCCTATCTTATGACTCAACTCATGGTTCAACACTTCAGAACATTTGGTAGTATTTAAAAACTCGGACGTGTGAAGATCGGATAAGAAATTATTACTAGAATCAGATTTTCACGTACAATCAGAGCTCATGTATATTTGACCATCAGTCACGTTAAAAGATTTCATGTACTCATTGATAGACTCAGCAACCTCCAACGTTGGGGCTAGTATAACCCTATCCTTCAAATAACTGCGATCATCTGTTGCATCCTTAAACATTGGATATTTGCTTTCAAAAATTACAACGATAAGATAATAAATGGGCTCCAACAATATATCATCAAGTACGTCTATAACACCATCATTGGATCCTACAATGTTTCCATCTCCGATGCTTGCTATCCAATTAGCAAAATCAGTTAGCTCCTCACGTTGTTCGAATCACCAATGCTCTGAAGGCGCATATTTTTTGTAAGCCTCAACACAATACAGTCAACCCATATGTCGGAAGAATTATATGCAGCATTCACAATATCCTGACGACTCTCATTTGATATAACCAGGAGGATCTATTGGAAGTCCTTATCATGAAATAGGATTTTCAAGTATTCAACCTCAAATTTGTGTTCAATTATTCGAATATTCGTTCATATTATTTTGTCGAAATTACGGTTATTCAACTATGGTAATTCATACAAAAAATTGAAATAAAATTTGATAACCACGCCAAAGAATGAAAGAACCAATATATTGGTCTGGGGATTTCAGAATGTATATATATATATATATATATATATATATATATATATACCTACCATATAAAAAAGATAACAAATTTTCTTTATTAAGAACTTTTTTGATCAAGTTTTTTTAAATACTATTACTTAGCAAATGCTTAATATTTTTTAGTAAATGCTTAATTCTAGGGCTGGCATTTTTTTATCGAAAACCGAAAACCGAACCGAACCAACGAGAAAATAATCGAACCGTACCGAACCGCTTGTAACAGTAACCGACTATTGGTTACCGAATCACTATCGGTACGGTATCGGTTTGAACCCATAAGAGTTCGGTAAAACCGATACCGAACCGATAAGGGTAAAAAAAAAATTAAAATAAAGATTTTTTTTTAAATATTAAAACAATGATTAGTTGTTTAGTGTTAAAAAATTGAAATAAGGGTTCAATCCTACCTAAATCTCAAAATGACGAGAAAAATATCATTACTCATCGCCTCATTCATCTTCTAATCGGAACATTGTTGGTTTACCAGTCTCACTTCTTCTAAAGAAGATGCATGCTACCGTTACTGTAGTCTATTCTCGTACCACCGTTACTAGATAAGCTAGTTGAAGTTGTATCACAAATTTTATTTCTTGCATGTTAGCAATATATTGTTTTATTAGTTGCGTTTACCACAAAAACCATTATCTAATAATATATAAACTAACTTTTGTACATTAAATTTAAGCTTTTTAATCCTTCAATAGATTCCTAAGTCTTTTGTGTGTATTTAATTGGTAAGAAATGAAAAAAAAAATACAAAAATGACGAGAAAAGTAAACACTAGCAATTTTTTTTTTTGTGCTCAAAATCGGTTCGGTTTCTTGGGTATAAAAACGATACCGAACCGAGTTTTCGGTTACCGAATTTTCGGTAACCGACTTTAATCGGTTCGGTATCGGTTTTGCATTTCGAGGTTACCGACACTATCGGTACGCTATTGGTATACACTTATCGGTTCGGTAACCGAACCATACCACCCCTACTTAAATCAGTGAAACCAAAATGATTTTTGTTACACAGTGTAGTTTGTAAAAGTGATATGTTAAACGGGTTTGATTTTGATATCTCATGAATTTTTGTTGTATTTTTTTCCCTACAAAAGCTAATTTTGATATCTCAACGTCGAGTTGATATGTTATGGAAGTTCGTCCCAGCCAAAATATATTTATCTTTAATATGATGTAGATAATCTTTTCTTTACAAAATGATATAAGCTGATTTGTTTTAATTTTATGTAAATTCTTTAATTTCGTTAAAAAAAATAATGTGACCAGATTTCTTAAAATAAGAAATAAAAATTAAAACAACCCATTAGTTACACCTGTGATATGGGATATTATATAGCTGAGGAATAGACCGGTTTGCATCATCGGTCGAGCAACCTCGAAGTGGAGAAAGCTGGATTGGTAGAAGGATGATCGACCAGACGGAAGGAGATCGAGCAGAATAGCAGAACTGGTCGAGGATCGACCAAAAGGGAGGAGATCGAGCAGAATAGCCGAACTGGTCGAGGATCGATCGAAAGGGAGGAGATCGAACACTCAACAGGTGAAGAGCAGTCCAGAGCGTGGCTTGAACGCGAGAAGGCGCGTGGATGGCGTTAGAAGATCCCAACGGCCTGCGCGGAAGAATAATCTCCCTCAGCTCAGAGGGACACGTGGCGAGAATATATTGGTGCAGAGTGATAGTGGCGAAAGCCACCCCTGACATTTCTGATACACGCACACTATGTGTGTACGGACGGGCAGGACAGCTCACCAAAAGCCGGGCAGTTCCTAGGGCAGGTATCTCACCCCTATATATATGGGAGTGGGTCTTTTCTTGTAGCCTACGATTTATCCATTCTCTACTTTGGAAAATTGAGAAAACACATACTGACTTAAGCATCGGAGGCTCTTCACCGGAAAACTCCTCCGGTGTGAAAGTTCTGTGCAGTTGCGCGGCGTTCTACCGGCGAGGAAGAGGAAGGCAAACCGATTTCAAGCCGGTCGGAGTGTTTTGCGTTACCAACCTGTATCATAAATTTTACAATAATATCATAAACTTTATAAATAATGTTGATTGGAATAGGGAGATTTTATTTTTAAATCAATCAATTTCCTTAAATAATATGAACTCGTATATCATACAATGATCAAGTATGGATGATATGGTTACTGAAAAGTGGCGAAAAGAAAATTATAATAAAAAATTTAAGGATTATTTTAGATGTTGTGCAGTTGTAGAAAATTAAAAAAGAAAAAACTACAATAAATTTTGGTTGTAACGAAACAATTAAAGAATACCTCAAAGTTATTTATGTCGACAAATCAATTAAACAATATCTCAAAGTTATTTATGTCAACAAAAAATCAGATGGACAATATGAATGATATTTCCTAAAGCATATCCTGATTACCAAAAAAAAAAAATTTGGCTTGTATTTATTTATTAAAATAAATCATATCCTAAAATAGGAAAAAAGTTTTTTTTGGCGAGAAATAGTTATTATTTAAAAAATAATCAAATATTTTTATATAAATGTAGATATAAATATAGATATGAATTTTTGAGTCCGACCATATTCCTCTAATTCCATTACCCACCAATCCAATGCGGGGAAAGTTTTTCATTTCATCTCAATTTCAATAGCACTTTCCTTTATGGCTTTATGTCCATATCCACCAAAACCTTTCAATTTGAATTGCATTTTCCTTATATCCATATCCATCTCAAATATTTCAATTGTATTTTCTTTTGTCTTCGTATCCACATCGTGTGAAGGTTTGCATCTTAATTTCAATAATAATTGATATACACACGTTGGAGCGGATTTTCGTCGGGGTTGCGTTTGTAGCACGGTCTCACAATTGAGATATACATCAAACTATCATTCCCTTGTATCAATAGATGCCTGTTCTTCATTTGGCCTTTTATTTCTTCCCATGTTTTGTGAAATATTGTCCCAAATAGAGGCCGACTTTAGTTGATGTCTGTCCCCTCCATCACGCTATCCCAACAACATCCCAAAGTAATACAAGCAGAAGCAGCAAACATAAAAAAAAAAATGTGTATTCTTTGTACCAAAGTTTTGCCCCCTTTCTCTCTCCATTGACAAAATGTTATAATATTGTATGAGTGACAGACGAAAGGTCATTATTAGATAATGTAATCTCCTTCAACAATATGCCTTTTTTGTCTTTTATTATTCTACTTAATTCCCCCAATCACTCACTCAAAAATAATAATAATCTGGTCTCTGCTGCCACATTTTCTTGAATTTCTCCTCCCCTAATTTCTCAAAAAACAGAAAAAAGAAAGAAGAAGATCCGACCCGACCGATAAATATGGTGAAAGCGTTACATGCCACTCTAATAATAATTGCGGTGATTCTGGCTTTGCTTCTTGTAATAATCCTCAGACGCTGTTTTCGGCCCAAAACCCACAAAAACACTCAAACCCTTCACCATGGCATCGCTAGGCTTCATCAGGTTAGTCCCCAATTGCACTCTAAATTCACGTGGGCCGACAACCCTTCCCTTGCCACCGACGCCGTCGAGAATGGCTGGCCGAGATTCGCGTTCGCGGCCGGGAAAAACGAGAAAACGAATTTGGAGATGGGTTGGGAGGTCTGCGAGGGATCTGCCGATTTGACGCAGAAAATCAGATGGATTAATCCCGAAGGTCGCACCACCATCGTCCGGGCCGGGTTGCCTCTACCCGGGCCCAACTCTTCCTTTCCGCAGGAGGCGTATTTCGAGATAACCATAGTGGAACGTGACGAGGGGAAGAAGATATCGGAGGGGGATAAAGTTAAGCTGCTTAATGGGCCGGAGACAGTCGACAAGATGGGCACAAACGACGGCGTTTTGATTTCAGTGGGGTTGACATTGGGGGGCCCACTTGGGTTGTGGAAACCAGGCTCTATTTGTTTCAACTCAACTGCCTCGCTCTACCTTGATGGTCAGTTTATTTCCTCTTCGTCATTCATTTTACCATTTTTTCCTCTTTTTGGAAAAAGGAAAATCGTGTTCCCTCTCTCTTTTTTTTTTTCGGGTAGAATAATGTTGAAAAGAAAAACGAGAAAACGAGAAAGCTACACCCTCCACGCGCAGCACAACAATTGAAAAATACCTGAAATTGTGCTTGTCCCATATCGGTAAAAGTAATGGATGTTGAGCGTTATAAATGTGTTAGAATCAACAAATTGGTGTTAATGGAAAATCAGTGGCTGAGTTGAATGGTCTGACCGTCCGGTTTTCAACCATGTGAACCGGTTCAATTCAGCAATTCGGACCGGAGTGGACCGGCCCAATTTTCAGAAACATTGCTTTTAACAAAGAAGATTCTTACATAAATTCTTAGTGTTGTGGTTAGGTGTTTCAATTCATCATACACTTATGTTTATGTTGATTTTAAAGTATAATATTTTAATTTGAAATTATGCATATATGTTGAAAATAACTTAAAAGAATGTCTTGAGAAAAACTTAAATTTGAAACCCGTAATTAAAAAATTAAAAATTCAAGACTATTGTGGCACAATACCAAAAGATCAAGCTCTACAATTAAAATTTCCCATATATCATCTCCCTATAAAATTGAGAATATGATGCTTAATAGCTTTTCTTTCTGCAATTTTTTTTTAGCTAGCTAACCCTTAGTAATATTATCCAATTATTTAATGTATCATAAAATGATGTAGTTATGCTAAGTTGTATATATATATGATGATAACACAGTGTAGTAGCTTGAGCATAATCCAAAACCAATCCAAACTCAAACTTATTGAACCCAATCGGATAATATGAATTGATAATGAATGCGTTGGGGTCTGTTGTTGGTAGTGGGGATCTTGCGGGAAACCCACCATTCCTTTTCTTTTATACCATCTGACCATCTCAACTTGCCATTTTCAGCTTTTAATTACTTTTTACCACCAAATTTGCAAATTCTTACATAAAAAATCTCAATTTAGACTCAGAATTATATTCAGACCATGTTAAAGTCTTTATTAGTTTCTAGCCTTCTAATTAGAATAGATCACTCAACTATTTCCTTACTTTAAGCTGTGCATAATTTTCTTTCGCTATGGTTTCCAATCAGTTCCAAGTAAGAAAACTGAATAAGTGAAAATTACAGCAGATGAGCAGTTAATAATAATAATAATAATAATAATAATAATAATAATAATAATAAGCCCAACGTTTGTTCTTGATTGAGAAATGATTTCACATTTGAACGTTGTCTTTTAAATATAATAACCAAAATAAGCAACTCCTGAAAAATCAACATGTAGATGGCGTTAAAGCCACAGAAGCCAAGTATTGTGCACACGTTAGTCTTGAAAGAGACCCTTTTTTAGAGCAACTGGTCGGTCATTGGGTTGAAATATTTAGAAGCCTAGCAAAAGCTTGTACATTAACAACGATGGAAGAGAAAATGATATAACCAATGGAAGAAAACATCTTAATTAATACACAACACAACATTATTTGTGTCTTACGATTTTGCTATGGAGCCAACTGTTGGCTCCATAGCAATATCGTTGTATCTATACGTTTTTTCTAATCACATAGTTTTATTTGTTCTTAAAGAATGTACATATCTTATATAATGACTTCATTTGTCCCGTATGAGAGTCAATTGTGACTCGCTCGCGAGCGTGTGGAACTGTCAAAGCATAAATAACACCAAATAAAATAAATATTATACTGAATCATGTCACAATTATTGTCTGATTAAGAGGGTATTATCACATTCAGCTGGCCTCTTTTGTCTGTAGGGACAATCCTTCTGTGACACGTTTCCACTCCTATTATTTTCCCTTAAAAAATGTGATCTGCAATTTTTCAGCTGAGCTTATGAATTATTTTCTCTGGCCCTACAATGAAAACATATATATATTTTCTCTCCCTCTCTTTTTTATTCTGTTTATTTATTTATTTATGGGAAAACTTGATTAGGTACTTTGACTTCTGACTTGTTTGGTAACATAACATGCACTTGAAGATGCTGATAAATTATTGAGATCTCTGTTGACTATGTTATTATTCTGTTCCTATACCTTGGAAGTAGGTTTCATGTAGCTCCAAACACAATCAACTAAAATTATTCACAAATGCCACTACACTCCTACCTTAATTATNAACAATCTTGCAAATTCATTCAATATCTCTACAGGAGCCAAATTAGCATTCGAATCTGAAAATGAGAAATGGGGAATCCCGAACAAAGTAATTGGATGCGGATACAACCCTAGCCAGAAGAAGGTCTTCTTTACAGTCGATGCACAATTAGTACATGAAATCCCCTGCAAAACGGATGATTATAGTTCACCACTTTACCCAACACTAGCCGCAAATACTGATGTAACAATTTTGGTGAATCTTGGACAGAGCCCGTTTAAATATTCTCCCGCCAATTTGCAAAGGACCCCTAATCCATGCTTTATTAATGGGACCTCCTTAGGATATGAAGACAGCCGAGAACTTTTCTCAATGGGAAGGATCGACTCACAATGGCTACAAAGGAGTGCGAATAACAACACAGTGAGTAGCATTAAGGCTATGGGTTACGATCAAGACTCTGATGGTGATTTGTTTGAGATTGTCCTGGATAATACTACAGGAAAATCTCCATATGCTACAATACATCATCAATAGGTTTAATACTTTTTATACAAAGGTAAATAAATGTGAAACAGATGAAAAGAATTTTCTATTACCTAACATCTTTATTGTATCTCAATATTTTCCTCATTTTTCTTGCTGGAACTTTTGCAAGCATTGTGAATTTGTAAGGGGATTTATTGTACTCAAAACTACATATTACGGATCACGTAGGTATTTTGATAAAATTTTCTGCCAAGAGGTTCAAACTTTAGTGGCTATTGATGGCATTCTTACCAACGATCAACACCTTAATTAGCTCTGAATAAATGAATTTACAATTAGATGATATTAAATTATTAATATAGTTCTGATATAGTGTAATTTATAAGCGTAGGCTCATTTGTCAACAGGGTTGTGTATGTTATGGTAAACATCACCTATGGGCTATGGGGTATGGAGGAACACAATGTCAACGCCATTAGAGAACACTAAATCAACAAATGTTAAACAACCTTTTAGGAAAGTGCAAAATAAACAATTAGAAAACTTTATTTTTCTTGGTCCCGTGTTCATACTTTGAGGGGAGATAGGGTTTTCTTGGTCCGTGTTGAAAACTTTAGGGGTGATTGTTTACCAATCAACTAAAAAAATCAAAACTCTAATTTACCTCAACTTTAACTCAATTTCACTATCCTCAATATTATCAATATAATTTAATATTATTAATCAATAATTCTTACACATCATATCAACTTTAGTTCATTATTCATCCACTCACATATTTTTAATTAACCATCACTTCCAATCATTTTTCTCCTGCTTTACATCAAATCAACTTTAATTATTTTATTTAAATACTATTTTAATATATTCGCTAACAACTAACTATACCATTTTTCAAAATTAACAATAATTAAAAACGAACTAAATAAAAACTAGTTGAATCCATAAACAATTACCCCTTAGGGATGCTTGCTTACCAAATAATTAATATAAATATAATTCATATTCAAAATCTAACTCAAGTTTAACTCAATTCAACTATCTTTAATATCATTCATATAATTAAATAATGCAAACCAATCATTCTTACACATCATATCAACTTTAATTCACTATTCATCCACTCACATAATTTTCACTATTCATCAACTCACATAATTTTAACTAACTATCACTCCACATCATCTCTTTCCTACTTTAACATCTAATCAACTTTAAATTATTTTATTTTAAATATTATTTTAATAAAAATTCAAAATCTCACTAACAACTAACATACTATTTTTTTCAAACTTAACTATCATTAAAAAAACACATTTTGAATGGATTAATATGTGAACAAGTTCTATAGCTGAAATGCATGTGTGTGTATTATAGCCAAGATATTTAAATTTTCATAGGATTTAGGCAGCGCTTGCAAATATTGTCAAGGTAAAAAAATAAATAAATAAAAGAAAATTGTGCGTAACACATACTTTGCAAATATTATGTCACTACAAAAAAAAATGTAATATTCCAATAGAAAATCTTACGATAATATATTTCAATAGAAATTTCAAGGGATATTGCAATGGTATAGCTTCCGGTGGAATAATTCCAACGAAAATTCCAACGTAATTATTCCTTTGGAATGAGTTTTCCATTGGAATTTAGATGGAATTTGATCATTTCAACGACTCTTATTCCAAACTGTATGAATTTCCGTTGGAATATAAAATTCCCGTTGGAATTTTTATTTTCAACCATATTTCAATCGTTGAAAAATATATTGTTGGAATCGTCAAAATCCAACAGAAATTCCAATATAAACTCATTCAAACGGAATATTTTTGTAGAAATTTCATTGGAATCCATTGAAAAATTCCAACGGAAATAATAGCATTAAAATATCTATTGAAATTGCCGTCGGAATTCTATTGGAATATATTTCCGTTGAAATTTTCTATTTGGAATTCCATCACTTTTTGTAGTGCGTAGTTAAAAACATGGTTTTGCTATTGACTTCTATATATGTATTATTTCCTTTTTTTTTTCTCCCTATGCACATTAATTTGCCACTTTTTTCCTGTATTAATTTGTCACTTTTCTCACCAAACACATTAATATGTCCCTTTAATCCTTTCATTTCATATTTGGATTATTAGGAACATTATCTTGGTGTTATGTTTTGACATATCTTGTGTATTACTAAGGAAGAGTTGTAAAGGTATTATACTCTATGTTGCACTTGTCCTTAAAGTATTTGTTCCAATTGATCATAAATGAAATTAAACTACAGCTAATTTACGAACGCTTGTTTACAAATTATTTCATTCTCAATCAATTCATACTCAAAATTTAACTCAACTTTAACTCAATCTCACTATTTTTAATATTATTCATATAATTAAATTATACAAACAAATCATTCTTACACATCACATCAACTTTAATTCACTATTCATCCACTCACATAATTTTAACTACCTATCATTTTCAATCATTTTCAATCATTTATTTCCTACTTTTACATCAAATCAATTTTAATCATTTTATTTTAAATATTATTTTAATATATTCTTAAAATTCCACTAACAACTAACCATACAACCTTTTTCAAAATTAACTATGGTTAACCAAAATAACTCATTTTGAACAAATTATTCCATAAACAAGCGCCCCCTAAGCAGCTTGTCCCCTGTTCCCATTTACCCGATGCCTTTGGTTGAACCAACCTCGGCAGAAGACTGTGGGATTTTTCCCAAGACTCTATTCCGAAAGCAATAGAGGCACTTGAGCCTTCCTTCTACTCAACTGAATCCACGGCAGAGCTTCTTTCGAACTCGGACAAGAAATTGAGAAGCATCGAGTTTTCGTTTTAATAAAAGGCAGTTCAAAACATTGAGCCAAAAGATTGGGATTCAAAATAAATGAAGGGATCTCTGCTCTTGCTCATGCACCATCCAAACCCATTATAGAAAATACCAACCACTAAAGGATGACATGTGAATATGATACACACACACACACACACATATATATATATATATATATATATTAGGGTTGGGTTCACATGAGAATTGTTCTCAATGAAAGAAATAAGAATACATCACAACCATCGGATTAAACGATCTAATGGATACCAAAAATCCATCATTTATTTATTCATTAAGGGTATTATAGACATTTTAATTATCAAATGTGCCACCTATGTCAACTAACACTCATACACATCCAATGATATACTGCCACGTGGCCACTAATACATCACACATCTCACACACTTTTATCTCTCACAGACTAACACACACATTGACTATTCAACACACAATTACACACGCAGCACAGACAGAAAAAACACACACACCCCACGCGACACACACAACACACACATCGCCGGCGAGAGCAAACACACAACGCCGCTGCCGGTGGTCACACACCAAGTCGACCATCATGTTCACCGCCGCCTCCGCTGCTCCGCCCTGCCATCGCTGCCTCCGCTGCTCCTCCCCGCCATCGCCGCCGTCGCACCTTAGTCACCGCCGCACCTACTGTGAGTCTCCTCCGACTTCACCATCTTCGCCGGCCGTCTTAGTTTGTCTCCGGCGACATTCTAACGGCGGCCAACCTTCGATTTCTATCCACACGGAACTCCGTCGTTGCCCCTAATCATCTCCAACAACCTCCATCCGCCGGTCGGGGGAGGAGATTTAGGTGGAGAACGCCGAACGACTCTATCGCCAGATGCTCCGCCACCTCCTGGAGCTTGAACGACGCCATAGCAGCTGTGAGAGGGGGGTGATACGAGCAATAGGAAATCTGAAATTAGAGTTTGGGTTTGGGCCTCTTTTTTGAGAATTTGATTATATCAAGGGACCTATTTGCAAGTTTAACAATTTTAAGTATATTCAATTTGACACATGGGTCAAATCTGCAATTACTAAAAGCTAATAAAGAAATTATTTTTATTTACTTTTTTATGCATATATATTCAATTTGGAGCATGATTTTTCTAACACATAGCCACTCCACTATGTCAAAGGCTTTCATAAGGTCAAATTTCAGAGCCATAAAACAGTTTTTGCCAGAGTTATGTTTGTTGAGGAAATGAAAAGCTTCTTGACCAATGATGACATTGTCCATAAGTTGCCTGCCTTTAATAAAAGCAGATTGAGATTCACTGATACAGTCAGGCAAGCAAAATAGAAGTCTAAGGGCAATAATTTTGGACAGATTTTTTTACACAATTGAGCAAAGGCTGATTGGTCTGTATTGAGAGATGTTGATAAACGGATTTAATCAACGTAATCAAATGTACAAATTAACACAAAGATTGTAAAAAATGAGATTTTTATTGAAGATTTTGAAGTAGGTTACAGAGTAGGGAAGTCGGTTTTTCGATGTACACCAAGTCGGTAAACAAGGAAAGAACCGAGTTAAATATATGTGTCTTTATCACTTTTGCCGAATCCTCGTATTGTTTTCGAAGTTGCTATTTATAGTTATGTTTGGCACACCTCCCTAGGCAAATCATTTCCGTTTTAATGAAGATTTGATATCTTAGGGGCGGCGATGACGTAGATGAGCTTTTTAGGTAATGATTAGCATGGGCGCGCCTCTATCTGTGTGACGAGTGTCACATCTGTCGGATTGAAGTCGGTTCGTCTTGCGATGTCGGTATTTTGATAAACTTTCAGCATTCTACGACTTCCTGGTTCAGCATTCTACGACTTCCTGATAAATTATTCTTCAACCGAGTTGGTCTTTTCAAGGTTTAAACGACTTGTGTTGACGATTTTCGTAGATTTGCGGTATCATCCACAAGTACCGAGATGAGATTACCGAGGTGCCATATATTCTGCTTTACATCGTCCAAGATCCAGTTAGCGGGTTAGACCTCACGATTTCTTTAATCTAATCATAATTTCAAGATATTCTATGTCAACATGGTCTTGGAAGGAGAGAAAGAAAAGAGGGCAGAATTTGCCGACGTGTTCAATTCCACCCTTGCCGACTTTACTGTTGAAAAGCATCTTTAACTGCTGACCCCAGATCAAATTAAGAAAGAAGTGGTGGAGTATGCCGAGAAATTCATTGCTACCGCAGCCGAAGAGAACCTCGAGGGAACCGAGCTGGTGCAGGGGATCGGCGACCACAATGCTGCTAAAGTTAGGATTATCCCCAATCCTCAGGCCATGGATGCTGCAATCTATTCTAGGCTAAGTCAGGTGGTTAAAGATGGCTCTGTGATTCCGGAAGATGATGAAGAGATCCCGAAGGATATGGACGTTCCAGAAGTTGACGTTGGCAAAGAAGCGGGAGATCTTCCGGGCGAGGTT